AGCCGTTGGTATCCTCCCAGCCAACCACCACATGGAAAAAAGAGGCCAGCGTACTGGGAGCAGCTTCAAGTCAGATTCCAGTGCGCCCAACAACAACCACCGCCGCGTAGAGGAGGTCCCACGAAAGGCTTCGCGCAGGCCATCCAAGATCCACACAAACACTGGACTGGCACACCCACCTGGGGCCAGCTCCTCGATACATGCCACCATTGGCAGAAACATAGGGATCCACATGCAGCCACGCTGATCCAACATACAATAGCCCATCAGCAACAAGCAGCCCAAGAAGCAGCGCATGATGAAGCCCATCTGCAATACAAAGAATGGCTCCTCCAAGGACAAGCCAAGGGATTACGAGGACTTTTCAGGAACTTGAAAAGTAGCGAAATTGCCTGGGAAAGACCCTACAGGGACGTCCCCCAACCACAACGGATGGACAGAAGACTCCAAGACTGGGGACACCTTTGGGACATCAGACAAGACAATTTACCACATCCCAGGCCGAGCATACAAACGCAGGCGCAAGCAAGCGCAACGACTGCCGCCAATCACCATTGGCCACCTTGCCAGGGTCCTTAAGGCGCTACCAGAAAAGCCAGCGGACCAGATGCTGTATCAGCGCAGCTCCTCAAACAAGCACCACCGCTGTCTTTGGTACCTGTGCTGAAGCTCTACCATGAAATGGAACAGCAAGCTCAATGACCAACCCAACAACAAATGCATATGGTTGTGATGCTGGCTAAGAATACAACCATAGAACGGCCAATCACATTGACATCGGTGCTCTATCGTGTCTGGTGCCGCCTCAGGAAGTCTCTGCTTGACCAATGGCAGAAAGAGCTCCCACCGCAAATGGACCATGACAAAGCAAGACGAGGAGCCAATGTCCTACTTGTAGCACTGGGCAGACTCCTTCGACAGGAAGCACGCAAAGCCCACGGACGACACAGTGTCACGGTGTTGATGGACATGTCAACATTCTATGACGCAATCCAGCTCACCAGACTGCAGGAAGAAGCCATGAATCCTTTGATGCTGGAATTGGCCATGCAGGTCTACACCGGCCCCAAAGCAATTCTTGCAGAACAGGAGCTGACAGCGTTTTTCACGGTCAACCAAGGCATACCAGCAGGATGCCCTCAAGCACCCCTGTTGGCCAAGGCAGCGCTGGCACCGGCAATCCTGCCATGGAAGGAGCGCCATGCAGCAGTGCATCTCTCCAGCTGGGTTGATGATGTAGGATTTGACACTGCAGGACGAAATGCTGTCCAGGTGGCAAAGGATGCGGTGGCTGCCTATCGAGAGCTACATCAAAGACTTGTCGAACTTGGCCTCAAAGTCAACTCCAAGAAAACGGCCTTCATTGCCACAGACCGGATCACTGACAGAGCTCTGAAGGAAATGCTCCATGAAGATGAACCACCAGGTGCCACGGTGATGCGTGATCTCGGAATAGACCACCAAGCAGGCAGAAGGCGACGAATCCCAGCGCTGAAACAACGTTTCAGAAAAGCCCAGCAGCGCAAGATCAAGTTGCGCAACCTGAAGATTCCAGCCCTTAAGATCCGCCTTCGACTGCATCGAGGTGGAATCCAGCCTGTGGCCATGTGGGGAATTGAAGGACAAGGTTTGGCCCCACGGTGCAGAACAGGCCTGCGACAAGCACTTGCAAAACACTAGGACACCGCCAGGGAGGACTCCTTGATAGCACCTATGACCTGCACAGCAACCGCTATCTTGACCTGGCTGATCAAGTGGTCATTCACCACGTTCGAGCGATCCACCAGCTCGTACAAACCTGGCCAACAGAGCAGATGAGCTATTTAGAGCAGGCATGGAGCCAAACCCACCAGCAACTGCAGGCCAAAGCCCATCCATGGTACATCGTCAAAGGACCCATGGCGGCAGCCATAGCCTATCTCCAAGAATGGCAATGGCCGGTCCAGGAGCTTTTTCACTGGACAAGACCCGAGACACCATACCTTGACGCCAACACCCTTACTTTGAGGGACCCGTGGTGGAAATTGGAACAGGCCTTGCTCTTGGAAGCCAAGAACCAACAGACAAGCAGACTTGCGTCCAGACCCAATCATCAGCATCTGCTGACAGGGCTTGATTGGCACACCTACAGACAAGTCAGCAAGCAGCTGCCAAACAGACAGCGCCAACATCTGGCCACATGGGTACAAGGAGCAGTCCAACACCGAGAAGCCAGCAAACCCAAAACACGCCCAATTTGCCAAGTACCGGCCACTCCAAAACAGATCATTTGGATGTGTAAATGGCACAAACAGCAAGACCATGAGCCTATGCGAGCAGCGTGGATGCCACGCATCAACTGCCCTGAAGAAGAACCGCGTGGAGTGCAGGCTGGATACCCCTGCATGGAGCCTCAAGACCTCCGCCAACAAGTACATCCCTTGCAGGGACATGGAACTTGGCAAACACTACAGCCCGTAGGCGCACATCCACACCAAGCACCCTCGACGCCACGCCCAGCACCTACGACGCCCGCGGCCAGCTATGGGCGTTCGGCCTTTGCGCGCGCGCCATAAATCTGGGGCAATTGAAGCGACTCGGGGCCATGACAGGCGTACCACCGGGGCCCCAAAACAAAACCAGGGCCCTCCTTGCTGGCCTAGCTGCGCTGGCCAAACACACCACCACCCAGGTCCGAGTAATTGTCCAACTCACCAGGGTCTGGGAAGCATGGACACAGCAGCACCACCGGCAGGCATACACAGACTTGTTTGAGAACCTCACAGAACAAGATCTGCAGAGGGTCACAGTCCTTTATGTGAGCAAGAACACAAGATCCCTCGAAGCACCAGGAAGTGAACCTCAGTTGAGGAGAAGGCAACGAGATGCGGCCATCGTGGCTTGGGAAAGGGCCAATGGTCTACATGACAAAAAGGCCAGTGAATGGCAGGACACTCTTGACAGAGATCATGCGCTCATCTACCAGCATGCCGCCGAACGACTGGCCAAGATCTATGGGGACAAGACTCACTACATCCGCGCCAAAGCACCACGACATCAGGGCAAACACACCAAACAGCGCAAGAAGGACCTCATCAACCAGTGCAAAAAGCCATGGACCAACTCCCATCATAGATGGAAGCCGCATCGAAGTGGCTATCAATGCATGGCCTGTGGGACCCGCGTGCGTCAAGGACTCACCGCCAATGTACTGGAGGAGCGCCTGCGTGAAGAATGTCCACAGCTGCAGATCGAGGACATCCGCGCGGCACCATCCAGCCAGGCTGAACCACTGCCCAAAAAAGTCACCAGGGCACAACGCATCCAGAACATCCTTGCTCAACCGCAGACCCAACCACCAAGTCAACATGAACATCAATATGCAGAGACGACAGGCTATCTTAAATGCCCCAAGTGTGGACGCAACATCCACAAAAGGACCAATGAAGCTGCTTTCAGTGACTTCATCCAAAGCCCATGTGTGGACCAGGCCTATGTCACACCACACCAGGGCCATCCCTCCCACACGCTTTGGCAGAAAGGGGCAAAGATCAGTTGTCTCCAGTGCGGGATCCAATGGAACCTCGACAGCCAACAAAGGATCATCACCACGCAAGCTTTTGGCAAACAGTGCAAAGGAGCTGGCCAGAAAGGAACTCCACCCATCAGCGAGTTCTTCAAAAAGCAAGACTCCAGCAAGAGCCAAGATCAGCCGGCCAGCGCAAGCCCCGAGCTCAGTAAGGAGCACCAGTCTCTGCGCACCAGGAGGCCCACGCCTAAGAGGCTCCATTTCCGCACGGAAACCAAGGAGCGCGAAGCTCAAACAGAAGCCAACACGCAGGGCAATACGCGCCCCATTCACCACGGGAGGAAGCAACTCCACCGGCAATGACACCAGAGTCAAGCACGGAAGAAACGGGCGAAGATGAAGCCTACATGGACGTGGAGTACCTCTGAGACCTGACCCCAACAAACTGAGGCACAAGGCCTAGCCAACCGCCCAAAGGGCCACTGCAGCAACTTCAACTTTAGAAAAATACATACATACATACATACATACCTACGTACATACATACATACATAGCTATTTTCAAGACATATGAAACGCATGTTTTCTATTGTGCAAGCACGGGGAGGTACGGTTATAAGGCGCGGGTGTGAGGTGTGATTGGTGGTGCAGGTACGGGTGCGGGTACGGGTGCGGGTGCGGGTGTGAGGTGCGATTGGTGGTGCGGGT